AAAAAAAAAAGAGAAAGGAGGAAGAAGACAGCGGGGGAAAGGAGGCGAGGGAGGTAAGGAAGAAGAAGGGGATTGGCGAGGAGGAAGTGCTGGCAGCCATAGCTGACCGGGGAGTTGACCGCGAGGGCTGACCGGAAGCGTTGACCAGAGTTGACCGGGGGTTGACCAAGGGTCATAGCAGCGTTGACCGGCGTTGACCAAGGCTGTTGACCAAGGCCGTTGACCAAGGCGTTGACCAAGACTTTGACCAAGCTGGARTTGGTAACATCTCGCCAAGCCCTTAGCCTGCCCCTTGCCCTATGGATGTGCACATACCCCTTGGTACTTGCTGAGTACAGTCTGTCTGTCTATTCTTTCTGCATCGAGTCTCTTCTGTCCTAGGTCATAGTACTCTGTGGATGAAGGATAGGGCTTGGATGACGAAACCCTAGTCTGACCTTGTAGGGCTAAGGCTGTGGCTGATCCAACTTTCCAGGGGGGCATAACCCTCCCAAGGACTGGTGCTGACCGGCTGGAAACGGTTGGTAGGACTCAGTGGGCCTGAACGGCAGTTAGGGCTGACACACCAGGCAATCTTTAAGTGTTGAGGGCCTGTTTGAACCACTCCCCTACCGGACCAAGTAAGGCTGAGGATCTGTGTCTGACGACTCGACTGTCCCGGAGGTCAAACCCTCCCAAGGACCGGTACAGACCGGCGGGCTGCTCGGTGTGGCACAGTAGGCCGGAACGACTGAGTTGTGGGCTGAAAGCACRGGCAGAACCAAGCTGATCACGTCGTCCTGTCTGCGACGTTAAAGAATTCTTGAGGAGTTACGGGGGATCTCCTTAAATGCCTCTTGATCATCCACTGGTTCAGTAGTGACAGCCATAGCATAGGTCTAGGCTAGAGGCCATAGTTGACAGGATCCCTGTAAGTCTTAGATTGAGTCAGTAGGTCTGTTAGTCAGGGGTGGCGTCTACGTGGTGAGGTTTGGAACCTCTAACTTGGTTGTACACCTATCATCATGGTTGAGACCCGCACTGGGAAGGAGACTAATCCCCACACCCTTGAGCAGCAAGCGAAGATGGCCGCCATAGTGAAAGAGAATAAGGAGAGAAAAGAGCGTGAGAAGCAGGCGAAGCTAAAGGCTATCGCAGACGAGCGGGCGGCGAAGATGAAGGAAGTGGAGGAGGAGATGAAGAAGAAGGAGAAGGCTGTCGAAGAAGAAGCGGCAGCAGAAGAGGAAAAGGAAAGGATGAGGATTGAAAGCAGAGAAGGGAGCAGTGGCACGAAGAAGGACACAGACGCTGAGATTGAGAAGAAGATCAGCAAGTGGGTTGCTAACTTATCGTTGGGGGAAGATGAAGAGGTGGAGTCATATGTGACTGAGGATGAGAAGGCCGCCTTGGCCGCTGAGCTAGCAACCATGACGGATCCTATGGAGCGAAGAGAGAGGGAAGACGAGCAAAAATTGCAGTGGAAGCTGAGAATGAAGAGGGAGAAGAGGAGGAGGAGAGAAGAAGTGAATAAGATGACCGCAGCAGTAGCAAAGGTGCAAGAATGTAGACCGGAGGTATTGGCCCAGCCAAACGATAAGGCCAAGTGGGACAAGGTACTGGGGTACGTGGAAGTGTTGAGCCAGGCCTGGATGGAGGAGCGCCAGGCTAGTTGGAGTCAGGATGTAGCGTTGAGTGCCATGCGGTCAGGATTTAGGGAGTTTGCGCGCGAGATCGTCACCCACATTGGGGGCGAAGTGAAACAGTTGAGGGACAACGTCGGGAAGTATTGCGAAGGCGCCATTGAGGGTGCCAAAGCCATAGCTGCTGCAGAGGGCGAAGGTAGACCCCGCAAAGAGCTTGTAAAGCTCAAGTTTCCAGACGCGTACGGGGGAAAGGAGGAAAACTTTGACAACTGGGAGGCCCTCGTGGCCTTCCAGGCCCTCAAGGACGAAGCAGCTAGCCTCTGACAAGCTACAAACGATCCACTCACGGCAGTGGAGGAGTGCCAAGGCACTCAAGAGTACCATGGAGGACTTGGTAGCCGTCCCCGACCGTGGGGTCACTGAGCCCCAGTTGGTCCAGTTGTTTTATCGTGCCATTCCAGAGGCCCTACGTGGGCATTTCTTTGACAAGTCTCAGCAGACCGGCATCACTTACGATGCATTGAGTAGAGAAGTCGTCCTGTATGAGTCGAAGTCTATGCCTGTCACCACTTTCTGGCATAAGGACTTGGAGAAGGGGAAGAAGTGGAAGGATCGTACCATCTCAGGCCAAGTCAAGGCCAAGGATCACTTGATCCTGACATTAGAGGAGGGTGGTGCAGAAGAGGTCCCATATGATCAGATTGAGTGGGGCCTAGGGGAGGAGTACAGTAGTGTAGGGCAGGGGAGGTCTTACGCTGCTGTCGCGGCCGGAGGGAGGCCGCAAGGTAGAGGAGGAGGCCAGCG